TGTTCCCTCATAGTAGGTACTTAGGCCCTAATAGAGGGTAAGAGGAGGGTCTAGGTACTACCTATTCTTTAGGTGGACCCCCCACCCAGTAATAGTGACTATAAGGAATACTAAGGATTATATTAGGGTCCTCTTATATTCCTATTATACCACTATTACAGGGTGGGGGGTCCTCCTAACCTATTCTTGTTCAAAAAACCAATGTCCCCCCCCTGGCTCATCCCCTTCAAAGCTAGAGGCCCTCTGCAGGCGAGGCCGTGGAGAGACAGTTTAGGGTTTAGGGTTTAGGGCCCTAAATAGCGTTTACGGTGTAGGGTTTAGGGCTTAAAGACCCAAGTATACAAATAGTACTTACATTGGGCCCTAAAGTCTGCAAACCTTACCTACCTGAACCCCAAAAGTGTGCAGAATGATGGCCTTTGGCTATTTCTAAGGTTCTAAGGGGAGCTCTCTGGGGCCGTCCCCGTAAGGATTTTACAGGGACAATTTTTGAGTAGCTCGCAGAAAATGCCGCAAATTATCTAGGGTTTGGGGTTTATTGTCTCGGGACCCCTAAATGATGAGCTTGTGCTTAGTTGGGAAAGACCAAATGGAAGCCCACAGTCGATTCCCTGTATTTGGGGACCCTAATATCAAAATACTAACATGCTTATTATGGGGACCCCCAAAATAAAAGTACCCCTAATTTTGGGAATCCTCCATATCTTCCCATGGCAGCCGCCTTGATTTACAGTCTCCTTGCCCTCTCGCCATTCAAAACGAAGCATCCGAAGCCCTGGCTCTGGTAGCGAACGCGCTACTCTTACCTATTACTTCCTCTTGACAAGGGTCTAGGGTCATAACCGTAAACCCAAAACCGCAAGGTTTATTTGGGTTTAAAATTGAAGGATGCATCCTGGAAGCACGCAGATTTAGCTTAAGGTCCAGGGTTTAGGGTTTAGGGTTCATAGGCCCCCATCCCAAAAAAAGACCCCTCAAATTTGTCGCGCTGGTCCCCCGAGCACGGGGGACTTTCCATCAACCGCTGGCATGTGGCTTGCCTCGCTATTTGTTTTCGCTCCTCGCCAATATGAGTAGTATTTTTTTGGGGATACTATGGTACCCAATTTCATATAGCGTAAGATTATATCTTCCTTTTGGGTATAATATTTTATAAATAATCTTACTGAGTTTAACCACCAAAACCCTACTCATATATGGGTGGTTCCCAAACATAGGTCCCATATTGGTAACCCCCCAGATATTAGGTGACGTAATATAATATGTACCCAAAGGGGGCGCATAATTCTGAGAACAATCCATATGAAGAACATGTTTAGGGATCATGTTAAGCTTTTTGCACCTTCTGGGTGAGTAGAGCCGCAGAGAACCTAGATCTAATTCAGACCTTGGACCCCACGAAGTCAAGACCTGTTGCACAGAAGCCAAGGAAGCTCTAAGCCACAACATGTGGGTTTAGGGTTTATAGTCCCCCTTAACTAGATAGAATATGGCTTTTGGACATATATTATACTAAGATCCCCATATACCCCATATTCTATCTACTTAAGGGGGGACTGTAGGGCTTAGAGCCCCTTACAGGAATAGTTACCAACATGGGTTATTGGAGTTATAATAGTCCCTTAATAAGAACCCTTTGAGGACAGTTACCCCAAACCCCAAACCCCAAACCTAAACCCTAAACCCCAAACCCTAAACCCTAAACCTGTAAGGGGGAAATATCCCAAATGTTCTCTTGCTTTGTAATGCCACCTAAAAGCTTCTTCATTGTTACCCCCATAGGCTCCCGAGCACGGACTCCCATGAACCGGCTCTAACCCTTTTAATCTTTAGAAGGTTTATCTGGTCCCCAAAGGTATGTAGAATAATGGCCTGTATGGCTGATGTTATGGGTTTTTTGCTATTATTTTACATGCTTTTAAGGTTTAGGTATGGCTTGGGGTTTACGATCCTCAAGGCACACGAAACTCTAAACTGAGGTGCCCAAGGACCCTAACCCTAAACTCCTTAAAGGGGGTTATATAGGGTTTAGGGATTATGGTTTGGGGTCTAAACTCCTTAAAGGGGGTTCTAAGCCCCGTTTTTCAGAAACTCCTCAATAGGCTTCAACTGGAAGATGCCGTCTCGCACGGAGCCATCCCAAGCTACCCCATTTTCGGGGTTACGGGTTTAGGTTTAAGGATTTCGGGCATTTCGCGAGCTCTGTTTTCGTATAGGGCAGGTAGCAACTGAACCCATGATCATTACACCCGCGATGGTTCGACGAGAGTAAGTACGGTGGTTATGACACGGTTTTTTGTGACCTATTCCTTCTAGCAGCCCAAATATCTCAACCCGCCCCTCTAGTAGGACGCCAACCCATTTAATCAAGAATAACTTATAGTCCCCCTTAAGTAGATAGAATATGGGGTATATGGGGATCATATTCTAATATACCCAAAGCCATATTCTATCTACGTAAGGATACCCAATTTCTCTTAACCCTAAATCCTAGACCTTAAACCCTAAACCCCAAAGCTCTATTTCCAATACCCAATTGAGCGGCGGCCAAAACCCCCATGTGGAAATTTATGCAAGGGTGAAAGTAAAGATTGGCCGCGCCAGCTTTTATGGTGTGTGCGATAGCTTGCGACAGAGATCGCGNNGCGTCAGTAAAATGAAGAGATACGTTCGTGACAGCTATTCCTGGGGCCGCGTCAGAGCGATAGTGCAACATCACTTTAACCAAAGGTTCAAAGGGTTTAGGCCACCGCTCAATTTCTCTTGACCCTAAACCCAAGACTCTAAACCCCAAACCCTATTTCCAATACTCAATTTCTTTTAACCCTCAACCCAAAACCTTAAACCCAAAACCCCAAAACCCTATCTTAAGGAGCAAGAGTCTAGCTAGAACTTGGTATCTCGCCCCCGGAGTTTTACTAGTTTTCATACAGACTAAGATATCTGCTTTATTGCCTAGCAGTCTACTGCTTTTACAGGGTTTCCATGAGGGAGTTTATGGAAACTAGTCTGAGGGAGTTGTGACGTATCAGTTCTAGATAAACTAGAAATGAGTCACCAATCAAAAACCTTCTTTTTTTCTTAGTTAAGTCACAAAGTCTCCCCGTAGCCATAAATGTCCTTTCAGGAACGAGCGGTGTTTGTTGGGCGCCTTAAAACTTTGCAATGTTCGGAGCCTCCCTGCTGGGAACTGTTTTGGCATCCGTCTTGCACATGCCGCGCCTCTCAGTACTGCGGCCTTTCATGATAGACTCCTGCCACAGCTTGTAGCCAAGGTCATGGTAGCCTGCCGTTTCTTCCACTTTGCACGCCGCACACGCGAAAAAGCTCAACGCTTCAAAACTCCCTTAAGACAACAAAAAGCTGCAACTGCCATCATTTTTTGCTTCCTTGAACATGATTATTCCCCCAACTTCCTCACCCCAGTGCCTGCTGACGGCATGCAAAGTATGGGGTCTGTGGGTATAAGTAATTTAGGATTTTAAGGTTTTCCAGCTTACCAGTATAGATACAATGCTTGTGGGCACCCTTAGGATCACTTAATGCTCTCTACCTACCCCCAAAGTCCTGTTACCCCACTTTAAAGAAACTCTAAGACAAAAATCCGAGACATCTCTACTCACAAGTGGGCTTATAACATCTTATAACCCTACTTACAGCCTAAATGGCCTTTTGGCGGTGCCCTAGATTATACGGAGGGTTACAGCCCCAGTCCTAAGTGATTACTGGTGACTAAGTCACATGAACCTCTAAATATGATCCCGTTTAGCAGCTAGGTAGCTTTACGCTTCTTCGGCTCCTAAACCCCAGCATAGTAGAACGTGTTCAGTTTCTGTGGCCTAGGGAACTCAGCAACTGGGGCCCTCAAAATAGGGAAACCACAAGTTCGCCTTAATTAGGCTGATTTAGGCGTGGTTAGGGCTTACTTAGATTGACTAAGGGGAAACCTAGGGAAGTGTAGTAGGAGAACCCAACCCTCAATCTAAAACAGTAGTTTCCATGTCATCGTTCATCTCATTGTCCCTTCGTAAGCCTTATGATGGAGGGGGACTGTCCCTAGACCCTAAACCCTAAGAAACAAAGTCAGGGAACAACCCTTTGGACGGATGCCCTCAGCGGAGGCTACTGTTCCTGGTGCCTGTCTGGCGACGGCGCCTTTGCGGCTGCAACAAAATGAAGTGGCCCAGGTGCAGTTTAGGGTTTAGGGTTTAGTGTTTAGTGGTAAAGATTTATGTATACTACTGTCGTTCGACGATATAGTCCCCCTTTAGTAGATAGAATATGGTGTAATGTTGGACCCTCTTTAATAAAGGGCCCCCCCCTCCCCCCTAACATTAGGGCCCTCCGAAGAATAGAAATTAGGGATCCTCAATACGCCCCCCCTGAGCTCCCACGGTTCTGAGGTCCCAGTGGATTGATTTAAAAGGCGTTGTTGAGAATCCTTCCTACATTTTTAGGCCCCCAAAATCGAAACTCATTATAGGGGACTTTCCAATCATTGGCCTGATCCTGAATAGGCCGGCCTCTAAACTCATTATAGGGGGCCCGTAGGCAAAAGGAGGTCCAACATGAATACCAATAGTTATAATCATTACTGTAAAGCTGCTCCCAGCACTTCAGTCTTGTGTTTGAGGCCCCTGCAGTACATTCGGGCCACTGCTAACTTCTTGGTTGCGACTGCCTGCCAAACGTTCCCAGACCGCTGGGAGGGTCTAGCAAGTAGAGCCCCCAATATGGTACCCTATACTAGAATGGAGTACTTTCCAGGAACCCTCAAGGGGGATCTACTTTCTAGATCCTCCCAGGCGTTTGGGCTGTTGATATTCCAAAGCAGCACCAGAAGCCCATGGCAGCCCCTCAAAAGCCTGACGATTTAAGCCTTAACCTCTCAAGTTTAGGTTTGTAGGGTTTAGGTTACTAGGGAGCCTAGAGCCACCCCCCGCAACTCTAAACCTTAATCCGCGCACCCAAAGATGTGCCGAGAGTCCCCCCTTGTACAGGTGGCCGCCTTCTCAACGGTGCAGGCCCATGGGAAGGGGCTCCGTGCGTTTGAGGGCTCTTGTTGGAGGTTCTGTGGATTTTCGAAATTGTCGAGATTGAAAATCCACATAATCTAGACTAAACTCCTGAAAGGTGGTTATATAGGGGATTATGATAGGCTCCCCTAAACCCTAGCCCCAAGCCCAAAACCTCAAGAGATATTAGGAAGGGTCCAGCATTTAGAGAGTTTGGGCAAGCTTTGGGACACGGATCTTTTTTCCAGGGTCAGCGGGTTCGTCAAGGCTGTCGGTTCCTGACCCTAAACCCTAGAAATTAGCTCCCAAAGTTGAACCCTAAACCCCTGAAGCTTTTCTTTTCCCCCGGGACGGTCCTGTACAGCTTGGCAAGGCCCCGTAACCGAATCCGCAAGTGATCCGCAAGCCTCCCCTCACTCTCAATTTAGGGTTTAGGGCTCACCCCAAAGCCCCAAGCCTCTTTCCGAAGCACTCAGCCCAACTCCAAACCTAAACCCTAAACCCCTAAACCTCTAAACCCCAAACCTTAAAGCCTAAATAGTAATTTCCATCTTCTTTTCCATTATCCCTATAACCCCTATAGAACCCTTCTTAGACAATCCAGTCTTCAGGGCTTCTGGAAGTTGTGGAACCACATGCCGCAGCCCTCCGAGTTACTGGAGCAGGCACGCATCTGATTCACTTGAAGGTCTAAGGTGTGAAGCTTTGGGGTTACTGGTTGAGGAACTGAAAGTTACTTACAGCAACGTGGGTATGACGTAGGTTGTGTGGTTTTCCCATACTTGAATTAGGGTTTGGGGTTAAACGAAACTCAAAAAGAGCACAGAAAACTAAACGGATACTTGGTGTATGAGGAAGCCATATTTTTCACATAGCCGTAATATGGTAATTAGATTAAGTTCCATCACAGCAACCAAGTAAAACAAGTCATACGGTCCGCGCGTACGGTTTAGGATTCAGGGTTCTTGGTAAGGGGTTTAGGGTCACGGGTTTAGGGTCGAGGGGCTTACGGTCTGAACACATCAATGTCTGGAAGCTACTTTTTGATTCTTAGGCGGCATAGAACCTGAAAACGCCGAGTCTCGTTGTATAGGCCTATGGGCAATGTTGGTATTTACCCTAAACCCTAAACCCTAACCCCTACCCTTGTAGCATTCAGAGGGGTCCTCAGACATGAGTCCTTTGGAAACTACGGCTAGCGATCCCCGGAGTGGCACCTCCGCTGTACGCAACCGTGAGCCAGCCAAAAGGATGCGTCATGGCCGCTCGCGCAGTAACTCCAGGTACTGTCGCAGCACAGAAATCCTGAGTAAAGCTTAATATTCTTCTCTGAGGACGATCAAAAAGCAGCTGACGTTCCTATTGTGGAGTGAATGCGCTCACAGCTCAACGGTAGCAAAGGTAGCATCAACAGATATGCGGCCGTTATACTGAGTTCCAAATGAACGAAACTACCCCCATCCCTCCCCAAACCCTGAAAGTCCTTCAAAATTGACAATCCACACGAAACCACACAGCCGCCTTACGAGCGCTACATTCTTCGGGCATGAGACGATTGAGCCCTAAAAGTTGGTTCCAAAAAGTCATGTTATTCTTACTTAGCCAATAGAAGAACTTTAATTTTTTTTGGGCTTCCTTATTTGGGCTCTATTATAAAGTTTGAACTTTTTTGGGCCTGGTCATTGGGGAAGAGTGTATATTGGGCTTTTACAACTACCACCAGGACTTTGACCTGTAAATACCAGCACCTCGTGCTCATCCTTGCTTCCTATTTTGCTTTCATACAACGGCCGCCTACGTGCCGTGCACCGAGTAGTGCTAGGGTTTAGGGCTTATCCATCCCCAACAATGTGGTCGTTTGCATGTTTTTCTTTCTTGTCCTGAATGCTCCACCCTGTGTTAGCTTCCACCTTCTTGTCGATTCCCTCACTTCCTACAACAGCCAGCAAGTTAACCCTAAATCGTTAAACCTTACATATGCTTAAAACCACCCACCAGTTTCCATGTCGTTTTGCATTCTATTTTCCTCTTATGGTGTAACGCCCTATCTATACATTCCCTTCTAAACGCTGCGCCCTAAACCCTAAACCTTGAGAGAAAAATGGATCCTCCAACCCTAAACCTTAAGCCTTAAGCCCTAAACCCTAAGCCCTGAACCCTAGACCCTGGACCCTAAGCCCTGATCCCTAAACCTCTAGACCCAAATCCTGAACTCTAGACACCCTAAACCCTGAACTCTACGTAACCACTTCTAGTAGACCTGGCCCACAACCCTAAACCCTAAATGATGTAGTAGTTTCCATTTTCTTTTCCATTATTACTATATAACCTCAATATAACCCTAATATATTCCCTAGTTTCCATTTCATTTTCCATTTTCTTTTCCATTTAATTCTGTATTATACCCTATATTATGCTAAGTCCCTCTGACCCTAAGCCCTAAACCCTAAATACTACAGTAGTTTCCATTTTCTTTTCCATTATTACTAAGTCCCTCTGACTCTCCAAGTAGTAGACCTGGCCCAGATCCCTAAAACCTAAATTCCATTATCCCTATATAGCCCCAACAACCCTCATATAACCCAATATGACCCCAATACCCTAAACCCTGAAACCCTAAACCTTAAACCCTAAACCCTAAACCCTAAACCCTTAAACCCTTAAACCCCTAAACCCTAAACCCTAAACCCTAAACTTGGGGCCCAGAAGCGCATGGTGCGGGAGCAGCCTGATGGCCTCCACGTGATCGACATGTGGCCGCAGTTGGTTAGCTTCGAGGGTCTGGGGTTTAGGGTTTAGGGTCAGAGGGACTTAGTAATGATATAGGGTATAATGGAGAATCAAATGGAAAAGAAAATGGAAAATCAAATGGAAACTAGGGAATATATTAGGGTTATATTGGGGCAATATAGTAATAATGGAAAAGAAAATGGAAACTACTATAAGGGTTATATCGGGGTAATATTAGGGTTTAGGGTTTTATTAGGGTTTAAGCTTTGAAGTTTTTAAGGGTTTGAGGTTTTAAGGGTTTAAGCTTTGAAGGTTTTGAGGGTTTAGGGGTTTAGGGTTTAAGCGTTTAAGGTTTCAAGGGTTTACGGGTTTAGGGTTTCAAGGCTTGGGGTTTAGGGTTTGGAGTTTAGGTTTCAGGGCTTGGGGTTTAGGGTTTGGAGTTTAGGTTTCGGGGTTTGGGGTTCAGGGCTTGGAGTTTAGGGTTTGGAGTTTACGTTTCAGGGTTCGCGGTTCAGGGTTTGGGGTTCAGGGTTTAGGGTTTAGGGTTTTCTCCGGTGACCTGACCTTACTTTCGACTTAGAGTCCACCTCTTATCACCATAACCCCTATTACAAGCCCATAACCAAGTAGACCTACTAAGCCGAGAGAGCCTTCAGGTACGGCATACCTGGGAGTTTGTAAGGAAGAGGGGATTAGACAGTCCTTCGCACATCTTCGGCTTAGGGTTTAGCTGTCACGGAAGTGTGGGCATGCTCACATGACACCTGTGCTTCTGAAGCTTGCTCTTTCGGGGTCATTTCCTTCCACATTCCAACAACAGCACCCTGAATTTCGTGCCAGGAGCTAGATGGTTAGGCCGTAACAAGAGTCCCCGCCGGAAACCTGCGCTAGCCTTCTTGACCCTAAGCCCGAAGCCCTAAACCCTACAACCCTGAACCCTGTTTCTGTAAACTCTAAAGCTTGGACGGGACTTCTTCGATCCCATGCAGAAATTTGAGCCCTGGGTAAAGGATGCTATCATGATTTTCCGTGAGAACATCCGCCCCGAGTGGGAGGACGCAGCTGTTCGATTCGGGTTGCTCACCAGTGGTTTCGGTGTTCGTTCTTGTCGGATGAAGTTGGGAGTAAACCATGCTTGCGTTGGACATCAAGCATTACTGTTTCGGATATTCTGGGTTTGCCATGCAGTGAGGCCTTAATTAAGCCTCGCCATCAACATAGCCCCATAGCTGGGCTTCAAGATTCTGATGTTTCTTTGGCTTACTGGGGGTTAGTAGAGAATAAGGGAATGTATTATGAAAGAAGTATACAGGGATTGTTTTCCCTTAGTCCCTACTAAGCACCAGTAAGCTGGGGGGAACTCTAGGTAGTAACTACTACTCTTACACTGCGGCAAATGGTATCTTGATCTGCCTAGGGTTTAGGGTTTAGGGTTTAGGGTTTAGGGTTTAGGGTTTAGGGTCTAAACCCCAAAACCCTAAACCCTAAACCCTATTCATTTGTGGCAGCCTGCCAAGTGCAGGACAAGATGAACGCGAACGGAGGACACTTCCAGCCACTTGGTCTCCAGCGGCTTAAGATTATGGGTTTAGGATTTAGGGTTAGGGTTTAGGATTTAGGGGTTTGGGGTTTAGGGGGGGCTTTTCGTCAAGAAGCTAAATTGAGATCTGTAAGATTTGGTTTCACATTGCGCTAACTCCTTTGAAGTTCCTGCAGACCCTAAACCCGAAACCTTAAACCGCGTTTAAGTTCCTTCAGTGTAACCCATCAATTTGAGCTGCGGCCGGGATGGCTTTGGGGTTAGGATTCAGGGTTTATTAGTTGTGTAGGTTGATCTCGAAACCTTAAACCCTGAAGAATATGGTAGCTTCCAGGAAAATGGGTACCCCAATATAGACCGCAACAGTAAGTGATAGTCCTTATCCTGAGGACCCCCAAAAAGGTAGCCCTCGTTCTGGGAACCCATAAACTCCAAAAACCCGAAATAGTAGTTTCCATTTTCTTTTCCATTATCCCCATATAATATAATCGCTATGTAACCCCTATCTAACCCCCATGTTTTTAGGCTTTCTCTTGCAGATTGCAACTTTCAGTTACGGCCTGGCTCAAGGTCGATGATTTTCTGCTTTCCGGTTGAAGCCAGGTAGGGGAATTCAAGTTACAATAAGAAAGTCCTATAGTCTCACAATCGCGCTTGTAGGAAACATTCAGGTTTCATAGGACGCCTACCTGCATTGAAGATGAAAGCTTAGATCCTGTGTGGAGTACGTGTTTGGGATTTGGCCCCGTTGTTTTTGGGTTGACGCTCCACACTCTTGCTGGCAGCACGTTGACCGTTAACCCTTAAGCCTTCCCCCCACCTGTTGTTCCCTGTGTTGTAACCCAATTATATAAATATGTGATGTGCCATATATACCAAGGACGCGACGATTGACAATTGTTTTGGCAAACTGCCATATGATGGCTTCTACGAAAACCTAACCTTCGTCAATCGCTCCAAGGAACAACATGAGCTTGATAGTTGCGCAGCAGAACATACCCCTAAGGTTTGGTTTCGGATTCTCGAAATCCCAGACCCTCCATGGATTTGGGCATAAGAGCCCCAAAAATCCAAAACCCCACAAGGTTGTGTGCTTGAGGGTCCCTAAATCCTGAAACCATGAAAGGCTTTGGGCTTAAGATTCTCCAAAGCCTAAGACCCTAAACCCTTCTAGTTTCTTGGTGGCGGGAAGTTCAGAGTTGATTGATTGTGCCGTGATGGGTTTAGGCTTTAGCCCTGGCTTCCAACAGTTAGTCGTGAATGAAGAAATGGGCTACAGGGGCTGGCATAAGGGAATATGTACATACATACATACATACATATATATATATATGGAGGATGATAGGAATCAGTTCATCATTCCTCCATTCCGAGGTTTCAGCTGAAGCCCAACGTGGGTGGTGGACAGGCACCGCTAGATTTGTACTCTTGGAGATACGGGGTTTAAGGTTTTAGGGGTTAAGGGTTTAAGGTGTTAGGGTTTTGGGCTTGGGGTTTAGGGTTTCTAGGTACCCTAAACCTTGGGAAGAATGGTGCTGCAGGATTTTTGGTTTCAACAGATATGAGATAGCAAGGGAAGTAGACTAGGATTTCTGAGGTATTATGCAGGGAGTGATGTAGGCTGGTATGTACTCGTGGAAGTGATTTTTCAATTCTTATTCTTCATCATTTCTGGGCGGTTGCCGGCCATGACTTTTTGTTTGAATCAACACAATAAACCCGTATAGTTCAAACAGGAGATTTTGTTTCGGATGCCTCTATGTAACTGAAAGCTTGATCCTCTGAACAGTACACCCAAAACCTTCTAAACCGTAAACCCTAAACCCAAAGCCTTCAGGAATCTAATGGGGGAGAGCTTCGAGCCTCAAACCTCCACAGTGCGCAAAAGTTTGCGGTGGCTTTCTTATGAACCACGGTCTAAACAAGCCCCATAGTGGTCCCCTAATACAATCTCCTATATATCCCCCATTAAGGTGTTTAGACTATAGCTCATATGATTGTCGGTAGCATCCGTCTTGCAGAAAACCTGAAACCTCGATGTTCCAGAGCTTGGGAACCTGAAGCCTACAGCTCCTCAGACTGCCCGCCCCCAAGAAAAAGAGAGCCATCCTAAAGAAACACCCTCTCGCCAACATAGGTCCCAAACCCCTATGAATATTATAGCCATTACTATGCTTACTACTATTATCATTGCTATTATTACTGCTACGATTGCTATAGTTATTGTGTGTGGCGAGTTTTTACCTGAAGGTGGATGAGTACTGGAACAACCTCGTGCTTGGCATGCCGCTCTTCCCAAGTTGGACATCTGAGGGTTTCTCACAAGGGGGCCCTAGAAGCCCTAAGGTTTTAGGTTTAGGATGTAGTGGTTTCAAAGGGAGTTGTGGGGTCAGGGCTTAGGTGCAAAATGCGCCGCACGTATGGGATCGAAGATGCTTCAGGGCTTGGAGGTTCAACCCAGAGAGCCGAGAACAGCTTATTGGAGAATCAAATGGAAAACGAAATAGACATGAAATGGTACTAAGATTATGGGGTCTAGAAACTCTAGGGTTTCCCAAAATTAACGGTGCCGTTTTGGGGGCCTTAATAATACGGACTATAGTATTTTGGGGTCTGTATTGGGTCCCCTAATTTATGGAAGCTACCATATAGCGTAATCAAAGAAAATACATTGAATTATACGAGGGCCCTTAATATGATTTCAGGTATTTTCCTTAATTAAGGGGTATTGGGCTCCCTGGGAAGGCGGCTCAGTTCGGGGTCGGGGTGAGAAGCAAAGGCGGACGAGCCGTAACGCAGGGTTTTAGGAAATCCAACCCTAAACCCTAAACCATAAACACTGAACCCCAAACCAAACAGTAGCAGGGTGGATGGTGGATGTGTGTGTGCCCCGATTTCGAAATTTCAGAGTTTTTTCAGATAGTTTTTTTTCTCAGATTCGAGAAAGAGTCCTGTCGCAGCACATTAACGTTGAGCCCAAAATGAGGTTCAAACACCGACAGCAGCTTCTTGGGAGAACTTCAATGGATTTGTGTCAGCAAGGGCGCCATCATGTGATTAGTTTTTTATTTGGGGATATTATGGTACCCAATATAGAATAAGAATATATCCTCCTTTTGGTTATAGTATTTTATGTAAGGAATATAGTCTTGCTAGGTTCAACCACCCCAAAAAATGCTACTCATGTTAAATAGACCTCAAAACAGCCACTTGCAAGGACCTGCTTGTTGACAGAAAGCTTAGACTCCGATGTGGATAATGTACATGACCAAGCAAAACTTGCTGGGGCTTCCTCTATAATCTCAAGAAGCTTCGACCAGCCACAAGGGTAAGGGTGGAGGAAGGCTTATTAAGCCCATCAAACCCCAAACCCGGGATCCCCAGAGCTTAAATCTTCTTCCCTAAAGCAAAAACCTAGCGGTTTAGGGTTTAGGGTTTAGGGTTTAGGGCTAGACATTCAGCTATAGCCCTGAAGTCCTGAACTCTAAAGCCACCAGCCCGGACCAGCCCTAAGGATTGGAGCAACAATCGAGCCAGCAAACATGATCACGGGAATTCGATTGGCTGGGACCTCAGTGGATGCACAATGAGTATAAGATCCACCGCAGGAATGACAGGCGAAAGCTGACACTACATGAGCTATAGTCTAAACTCCTTAAAGGGGTATCATATAGGGGATTCTATAGGGGACTATTATAGGGGTTATTAAGGGGGATACTAGGAGTTTAGACAGTGGCTCACATAACATTCCCAGTGCGAGGCAATCCCCACGGGTTGCCGACCTCTGGATGGTGTTGGGTTTTCTTCGGTCAGCAGGATTCATTCCTATCTTCATTCTCCTTGTCGTTGTGGTTGCGATGAAGGTTGGAAGAAGTAATGCCATTTCTCAGCATTGTCACTGCTTTGACCGTTCTGCTTGCGTCCTTTAATGTCGGGCTACTGAAGCTAGGAACTCTCCAATTACAGCAGTTGCTGTCATGATCCCCAATGTCAAATAGAGTGCATTGTCGCTTCCTACTCATTTCCTTTCCGGGGTTTAGGATTCAGGGTTTAAGGCTATTCTTCTGGTGTGGCTGTTCCAGTACGTGTGCTGTTAACATTGTGGCACCATGCTAGTGACTACCAAGGCCTAGCATCAAGTGCGAAGAAAGGCACAGTACGAATACACAAATCAACAGCAACAAGAGCAACAGTTTGCATCATAGCGATGGTGGCACGCACTCGACCCGAAGCCTCAGATCCTCAACCCTCAAACCTCAACCCTCAACAAAAAACCCCAAATCCTAAACCCCTAAACCCTAGAACCCCTGAACCCTAAAACCCAAAGACCCTAAACACTGATCCCCGGAACCACACACCCCCGAAAGAGAGGTGGACAAGCTCTCCGGCCCCCGTGCAGCCGGGGTGATCCGTTTGGAGGCAAGCTCTTGCTTTGTCGGGTGATGTAGAGGGTCCAGATATTTGGGATTTAACGCTGAGGGTCCCTAAACCCGAGACCCCCGGGATAAATGATCAGGGTTGCTGGAATGAGGCTTTTGGGGCTAGGAAGGGTTAGGGTTTTGGGTTTTCAGTCATATTTCATGGGGTTCGTAAAAAAAATTCAGTTGGACTATCTGCCGCTCCTAGGCTTGCCTAGGGGCTTTTCTAGGGGGTCCACGGGCAAAGTAGGCAAAAAATGGGGGGGTGGGGGGGTCCGAAAAATTTGAGGTGGTTCCTTTTCGGGAGTTCCTATGCTAAAGGATTGTAGTATGTTCGGGATTATTTTGAGATCACCATATTCAGGAAACTACCATTTTGTAGGACGGCACCAAAGCTTGGTCCTTTTTTGAGCCAGTGCTGATTTACGTTTCGAACTTGCACAGAATTGTAGTTTTTCTGTATAGGACCCACCCCCCCCCCCAACATTTAAAAAAAAAACCCTAATCTTGAGAAGCCCAAAAGCCTGATCCCTGAACCCTAAACCCTCTATCCACCTATAGAAGCCCAATATATCCCAAAACCCAAAACCTTATCCACCTATAGAAGCCCAATATCCCCTTGTCCTTTTATGGTGCCCCTACTTTGTTGGGCCCTACATGAACCTCAACATCCTGGACCTTAGGCATCCCGGAGCCTAAGCTCTGAATCTTGAGTTTAGGGTTCAGGGCTAGGCCAAGGGTTTAGGGTTTAGGGTCTAAACTCCTTAAAAGGGGGGTGATATAGGGGATTGTATAGGGTTTGGGGTTTAGGGTGTAGGGTCTAAAGTCCTGAAAAGGGGGGGTGATATAGGGGATTGTTTAGGGTTTGGGGTTTCGGGTCTAGGGCTATGTTTAGGGTTTAGAGTTTGGGTCCCAGAGTTTAGTGTTTAGGGTTTAGTTGCAAGCCCTAAGCCCTACGTCCGAAACGACACGCCAACGCCAAATCCTTGAACTAAAGATGCGGAATATGTTGTTCTGAGATGATTTTGCCATTCATGAGTTTTCAATTCAACTCAAATCCAAACCCCAAAACGCCAAACTCCAGACCCCAAACCCTTAAACCATCAAGCCTAGACCCTAAATCCTAAACCCTAATCCCTGAACTCTATCCCTATACCCCAAACTCTAATCCCTTAACCCTAAACCCCTAAACCCCTAAACCCTAGACCCTAAACCCCAAAACCCCTAAACCCCTAAACCCCAAATCTTCAAACCCTAAACCCTAAACCCTAATCCCCAAACCTTAAACCCCCGCTTTCTGGGAGGTTTGGTTTGCCAACTACGAGGACACCAATGCCGTCCAAGCCCTGAAGATGCTCGGCTGCAACTCAAAGGTGTTGAGGGGTTTAGGGTTTAGGGGTTTAGGGTTTAGGGGGTTGTAGGGTTTAGGGTTTGGGGTTTAGGATTTAGGGGTTTTAGGGTTTAGGGTTTGGGGTTTAGGATTCTGGGGTTTAGGATTAAGGGGTTTTAGGGTTTAGGGTTTGGGGTTTAGGA